TATTGGAATAAAAGGCAAGGAATATCATTTTATTACAGTTGTGGAGCGCTGATGTTGCAAGATCAATAAATTTTTCTTTTCATAAACCTGGTTGAAGTATGTCACACATGCATTCTTGCAACTGGTTTGTTAAGATGTGCCTGCACTGATGCACCCACGATTTAAGTTCACTTACAAAATGTTTATTACACAACATTTGATTCGATATTTCGTTTATTCATTGGAATTATTACTTTAATAATTAATAATACCGTAGTCTTGATGATAGTCATATACTATGGCGTTCGAGGTAAAGATTAATAAAGGTATTAATTAAAACAGCACAGTACCTATATACATTTAAAATTATTGCTTGCATAAGTGCAAGTTGTTAGTAGTTTTAGTTTTAATTTCCAAAGTTTTGAACATTTATTGTTTCAATGGTTATGGAGGTGAAACGAAGTCCGTAAATAGTATCTAAGTAATGTTTATTTTAGGTATGATCACGGGAGTCATTATCAGTGTGGGATATTGTAATTTATGAAATTGTATCCAAACATACCGTCACTGCAAGACTATAAAAAAACTATAAGCTTCGTCTGCCTGGATCCAATAAACACAAAAAACCAAACAAATGTGTGCTTGCGAGTAGCCCGTACAAACTTAGTTAACTAAGAGAGGCCTGAATATTGCTCTGATAAATGCAGCCGTATCTTTTGATTGTGTTGACAATATTCGATATTTATTTCAAGTTTTTACTCTTGTCAGATAAACGGGCAAAGAAGTGATCCTATAAGGGTGACTTCTTTCTTTTTTGAGTTACGGAACGATACTACCAACTCTAAAGCTTTCTGACGAAAAGTGACGGATTATCGTCAGTTGACAGTTACATAATGTATACTCACGTTCAGGATATCTTAAATGGCTTTCCGAAGTTTCTTGCTCACTCAATTGTGGTTTTAAATGGTTGGTCTTCATAAGACTCGTCCGAAGATGATGCTGTATTTTACGTAAAAAAAGTGTTGGAAACGTTGAGAATTAAAAAACAAATGCAACGAGATATAATTTGTAAAAAAATTTAATAATAGTTTTATTATAAATCTAGTCATTATCATGTCTAGTCATTACAGAAATATCTTTATATAGATAATTCTTTTGTACGTGTGTATGTTACTGAACTACTTCTAAACAGCTGAACCGATATTTTAATTTTTTGTGTGACTTTCGGTGGATTTGAGAATGGTTTAACAAAGTTATTCAAAAAAGTTTGAAATTTTTGAATTTAGGACGTGTGTATAGGACAACGTCTATGCGGTCTGCTAGTCTATCTATCTATGTATATGAAAATGAATCGCTTAATGTGTTGCTAAGCGCAAATCTCGAGAACATCTGAACCGATTTCGCTAATTATTTTTTATAATATTCCTTGAAGTACGAGGATGGTTCTTACGGGGAGTAAAATTAAAAACAACTTTTTAAGGGAATAACTTTTTACTCAAGCTTTAACCATGTTCAAAATCTAGATATTTATTATTATTACTATATATGCTTTATTTTCATATGTTATAAACTGAAGAGAATTGTGATACGAAAAGGTCACATATATCGGGTCCTTTGGTAGCAATTCGGTCCGCGGCAGTCATTAAACCTGGAAAAGTGCTATTACCTTTTCTTTTGTGTTTAAGAAATGTCCAAAAATATTAAGGGTTAGATGTTAAAGAAGATTCTAAGCACTGCAAATATCTGTAGTAATTCAAGTTATATAGTTTACAACTCCTCTCTCTGAGTAATTCAAAAGTTATTAAGTCACGTGGGTTACCATATTTACGAAATTTTTGCCTAAATTTAAACTTTTCCTTCAATACCCTAATTAATGGAGTTGAGAACCATATGGGATACTTGTGATTGCGCTGTGTTCTTTTGGGTACGAGCTTTGCGATTATTGACCTAAGATGTTTATAGAAGACCGTAACCATATCATCTACAGTAGGGCATTTAAACAGTTCCTCGTTCCAAGAGATATTATTCAGTTCATTTACGATTTTAAGATAATCTGCTTTATGGAAATGATATCTGGGTACAAAGATTGAGGGCAGATTCTCTTGGTATCCGGATGAAATGGACCATTCTAGCGGAAGATGCGAAGGGTCGATGAATGAGAGAGGAGTCGCAAATATACTAATTTGAGAGATTGTAACAGTACTAAGTATTAAGTCCAAGATTTTGTTTTTGTTGTTTAAGATACAATTATATTGAGAAAAATCGTTTAACGACATAAAATCTGTCAACATGTTGTACATGAAACTATTGGATATTACAGGTATGACCTTACCATCCTCCGCTTTATTCCAAGATAAACTGTTCAAGTTAAAGTCACCGACAATTATGGTATTACTCCAGTGTTTTTCTAAAATGCGGTTAGAATTATGTATAAAATGTTCTAAAATATGTTTTTGAACGGGAGGGGGAATATAAATACCACATATATAAAAGTTTTCGATATTACCTTTCCTGTTCCGCAACTCTAGTTGAATCCAAATATCCTCGCAGTCAGACTCATAAGCAACCATACGGATTGATTTCAAACGTTTTGAGACCGCGATCAATACACCTCCTCCGTTTTTTTTACTGTGGAACCCGCTGCTTTCACGGTCGCGCCTATAGACTACATATCGACTATCGAATAATTCATTATCAGAAATACTATTATTCAGCCATGTCTCTGTAAAAACTATTATATCAAAATCATTACAAACAGCATTATTAAAAAGATCCAAAGTTTTTGTTCTTAAGCCTCTTACATTTTGATATTAAAATTGATATTAAAATGATAAATATTTAAAATCACTCGTAAGTAATTAATTACATTCATTTGAACTTATCCCAAAAAGTGCGTGATTTATACGCAACTCATTTATTTTACGCGCGATCATTCATAAATAACACGCACACAAGTTCGTGCACAGTAAATTTAGGTATTTATGAATGCCCACCGCATTGTCAGCACGTTCTGTTTTTTAGGGAAAACAGTGGCATTTTTTTTTTTGGAAAAAATACTTTGTTTTTTCTTTCTACTACTACCGAGTCTGAACCTCCTTTGTAAATTTGGGCACTTCTCAAAATATCTCCTTGTATATGTATGTATTTCATGGGGCCTAAATGGTATGAGCAGCGCTATTAATACTAGTGCAATATTGTTAAAGTATAATTACTTATTTCAAACGAGTCTGATAGAAATATTAAATATCAAACTTAAAGTAATACCCAGCCTTTTTACATTACTACGATGTAAATTTGTCGAAGTAAATTTATATATAGCTGATATAAATAGGAAATTAATCATATCTTATATCCCGTTATAAAAAAGCACACTAGAGTAAAAGTAATGTGTCAAAATTATAGCGTGGTATCACTGTGGCGAAACTTTTACCATAATATTTCAATAAGGGTGTACGCGCAGTCTATCCTTTGTTTAAAGCCGACTTAAAACATCACAGGCGGAAAGGTATGGTAATTGCTACGAAGATTTTTGTATAAATACCGAGGGGGTTTATCCGGAGTACATCATTCCTTTGCTTGCTCTTCGTTTGGAACTTGCAAGTTGCAACTGCGGTGTCGTCATCATGATAAGTTTCGTAAGTACGAAGCTTTTGGACAGTTTAATTTCATGTAACGTAGGTCATCTTGAAGGTTGACTTTAAAGATATTTCTGTTTCCTATAAAATTGCGAAACGATGTAGTTTTCTGTTATTGTTGTTTGTTTTTTATAAAAAAATGTTGCGTTTTCATTAACGCAATATCTAAATGTTGAATAACTGATTTGTTTTAGGATACAAATCAAATTAGTAATGCATTAGTGATAACTGGGTTCATTTTATTTCCTGACAGATCGCATTTGTTATTGCTATCGGGTTTGTTTCGGCTGATGTTGGCAAGTTCCAGCCATTCCAGCCGCAGCCTGTGTACCAACAACAGCAACTTTATACGACAGAGCCAATTCCTATCATTAGACAGGAACATGTCCAAAATCCTGACGGATCTTACAAGTGGAGGTACGGTATATCAAGTATTTTATGTTTGACCCGGCAAACGTTGTTTTGCCATATAAATTATTTGAAGGGTAGAAAAATATGTTTGGGGTTGACCACCCTTAACATTTAGGGGGATGAAAAATAGATGTTGTCCGATTCTCTACCTTGGCAGATATACACACAAAATTTCACGAAAATCGGTCGAGCCGTTTCGGAGGAGTTCAATTACAAACACCGTGACACGAGAATTTTATACATTAGATTTTCCTTTATGTGAAAAAAAAGCACATTTCTATTTTCATAGAATAATTGCTTTCCCAAGTATTTGCTTCAAGTATTAATCTTAAAATAAAATATTAAAGAATTTTTTCCCGTCATGAGCGCTTCGCATTTAAATAAAAGAGTTGATTTATATCTTTTGTTGCCTTTGTTTTTTAATTAATTCTCTTGATTTATCGTAACTATTTAAAGTTTCTAAAAATTTTAAAATTTCCGCAACTCAGTAAAAATGTGTTGCAAGTCATAACTTAAGCTGTCGTTTCTTGATGAATTATCCTTGGAGTTGTAGTTGATGTATAACGGAAGTAGATCATTCTTTCATTATCAAATTAATGAGTAGTGCCTATTTTAGATATAATTATAGTGTATAGTAATACCTAGTAAATATGTATAATACTTATATGAATAATTTAGTAGTATAATTAGAAGATATGTTGTGAACAAGTGTGGCGCGAGATGGCGAGACATCATACGTAAAAGTTTGGCTATCTATAAAATAAAAATAAATAATATTTTAATAAAAATTATTTTCAAATAGTAAACAAAATCTTAATTGATAGATTTGCATACGTGTATACTTGTACCAACATTTATATATATTCACTTATGTTATAGCAGTTCGGACTTCTTGGTTTTTAATCTGATGTTGATTCGTAAAAATCAAAAGCTATGTATGTATTTTATTATGTCTATATCATATAATTTACAAGAATGTTTCCATTTAGCTACGAATCTGGCAATGGTATCACCGCGGAGGAGTTGGGGTACGTAAAGAACCTTGGTGTGCCCGAACAGGAGGCGCAGACTGCCCAGGGCCAGTACAAATATACAGCGCCCGATGGCCAGGTAAATATATAAACAAATAAAATAGTAACAAAAAACGAAACCGTCTGTCTTACCCACCAAACACATTTGCTTCTGTAAGCCATAGATCTTGTATGTCTAAGGGCCAATCATTTTGTTGATGTCATAAAAGACGTAGTTCTGGCGTAATAAATGGTCAAAGTGTCAATGGAACTACTGATACTGAGTTCTCCTAACCCAATAATTAAGCGTTACAATCGAATCGAGATACTAAGACTCCGCTGTCTGTCTGTCTGTCACCAGGCTGTATCTCATGTACCGGGATAGTTAGACAGTTGACATTTTCACAGATGATGTATTTTGCAACAATTAACTCTGTTGATAAATAAGTACCAATATTTTAGAAGATAAGCGAGAGGGCAGTTTTTCTGATATTAAGTATATCGTCGTCCTTGGCCACGTGGAATTCAAAAGCAAATTTAACTGTCTACTTTACTTTTGTGGAATATTGGCGAGCCTGCCCGTTTATGCAACAGCAGAAGCAGCTGACTCTTCCAGAGTGTAATCCTGTCTGTCATGTCTTATGCATAGTTTCGTGCATTTATTTCCTAGAAAGATGGCATTTTTCCGTTGCATCCTGCCCTTAACCCACATAGTCGGCACAATATGTGAATCATGTTGTAAGCGTAAACCGCTTACAACATGATTCACATATTTTACGACGTTTTTTACGACTGGCCCCTTGCCTGTCGTCTACCCTCCGTGGGAAACAAATACCTAAATCCGGAACAGTTATCTGAGGGTCACACAAATTGTGAGACTCGAACCCACTACCCCCGACGCTGAAGCAACTGCGCCATCGAGTCACACATAAAATGTAAAGTTATACGTAATAGTATCACATTATCCGTTGATATTGTGCTGTGATTAACGATTTGAAAATTTTGTACCGATTTTCATAACATACGAATTGAAACATTTTGTGCGACGCAATGATAGTTTTACTGGATTCGGGTGTTTATTGCCGAGGAGTGTTGACGTCAGGTAGGTCTTAAAAATCCCAGTCAGTAAGTCCTATTGACAACACGATTCACATGTGGTGTCGACCCCACCTAGGTGGGATAAGAGCAAGAAGAAAGGAGAAGATATTAACGGCCAGTTTCAGTATTCTATCTATCAGTAGATTTGGTTACCAGCGACAAGTATTTGACATTAGCTCCATAACACTTACGTCTAAATTCTATGTCCAGTAACCAAATCTGCAGATAGGTTATTGAAATTGGTCGTAAGAGAGTTTGGAGTTTGATTCATTGATGACACATCCATTCATAAAACTTATTTCAACAAAAATTTTAGCTTTCTTAAATCTTCTGTTTTTGTGCTTGTATTTCATACTGCATTTACATATCGAGATCGTATAAATTAATGGTTATTACGAGAAGGATGAGGTAACGATGGGCACAACTTCTCTGCCTGGTATTTTCCATAAAGGCCAATTATACAAGATGAGAAAGAAGCTTTTAGCTCATCGGTGAAATATAGATTTGCAATAGACTCAATAATTTTATTACTGTTCTACCTAGTAATCAGTACTAGGTATTACTGTAATCAATAATAAACCAAATTATTTAATCATTCAGTCGAATGTCTTAATTCTAAACGATTTTGTTCGTATATACATATGCATCTTCATCCTAAACGTTTTTTTTCTTAGCCTCGTTTTAAGGCTTTTTAACATTTAAGTTTATATAAATATGAATTCATATTTATATCAATTACTCATGTCGTTGTGAGTTTTAGATATTTTGGCCTTGTGCTTTGATGATATTTTTATAATTTTTCCAGGTTATTCAGCTTCAATACATAGCTGACGAAAATGGATTCCAACCTCAGGGAGCACATTTGCCCACTCCACCGCCAATCCCACAGGACATTCAGAAAGCTCTGGACTATCTTGCATTATTGCCGCCACAGACCCCCGAGAATAGGATTTTTGGACCTCAATAGATTATTTACAAGAAAATAAAGTGAAAATAAGGAGGCTTCAAAATATTATCATTCATTAAACATGTTACATATATTTATATTTCTGCAAATGTACTAGTGTGTCTAGATCGTTATAATAAAGCGTTAAAATATATTATAAACTTTGCTTATTTTATCAATGAAAAAAATATATACAAACAAATGCTGCTGTTAACAATAGACAGAGATCCAATCTATATATATAAAAATGAATTCCTATTTCTCTTGGTCACGCCATCACGCGTGAACGACTGGACCGATTTCACTTTTTTTTTGTTGTGTTTGTTATTATCAGGAAAAGGTTCTTATGAAAGAAAAATTTAAAAAATTGCCTGAGTGAGAGTGAGAGACACTCCCTATGTATGCTTAGATCTTTAAAACTACACAAAGGATCTTGATGTGGTTTTTCTTACTAGATAGAGTGATTCAAGAGGATGGTCCATATGTATAATACATTGCACCCGTGCGAAGCCGGGGAGGGTCGCTAGTAATATACGAAGATAATATAATAGTACCAAATCAGATTATTTTAGTAGACAAATATACTAATTAAAAGTCTACTGATGTTCATGTACCATGATTTTAGTATAATGTAGTGTTTGTGGTCTAAAATATTTACATGGCCCGCATACGAATTAAGCCTTTAGATTGTCATCTCAAGTGAGTTCTATTTCATTAAAGAGATTTGAATACGAAGTAAGCATTGTGGTTTCTATATGACGCAACAGCAGTTTGGTATATAATATAAATTTATTAAATAGTAAAGTAAAGGCTTATGCATGTCCCACAGCTGGACAAAGGCCTCCTCTGTACAGATTTTTTTATTATTATTTCTAAAATATGCATGTTTCCTAAGGATGTTTTACTTCACCGCTCAGGACGTGATAAGTCAGCACTTAAAGTTAACAATTTCATTAGCCGACACTGGGGATCGAACTCAGGTTGCTCGAGTATATTATATTAAAAGCGAGCGCATGGACAGTGATCACTTATAGTAAATATATATTTTAGGTGAATAAATAACAAATATACCCGAAATATTAAAAATGGTTATTTTAAAATGCTAAAGCTCAGTACTTAAATCTTTAAAAGTGAGAAGCAGTCTGGAGATTTGGAAATTACGGCAAAGTCACAATTACATTTTATGTAAATAAATATAGAGAATATGAATTCATTGTATTTAAAAGAATCAACTTCAGTGAATTTACTTTCCAAAATTTGTTGCAACAAAAAGATTTGTGAAGAATGTTCAGCATAACTATAACATACTACGCATAATATAGTGTAAGAGCTTGGCAGCTTTTGATATCCGATAAAGAACTCCAGAAAGCGAGGTACAAAATTGGAATAAATATCAGTTTGCTTAAGAAATATTTAGCTATCCGGAATTGATTAATGGAAAAGTAACCATTAGAATTTCACATAAAGTAAATCCCGTATTAATTTTAATTAATTAGAAGATTCGATGTTTAGCAAGTCGTATATGGAATTATGGAATAATGAATTTACAATGTACAACTGTACATGTAGTCCCGACTTCCGAGTCCGCTCGAAATAATACAGACAATGTAATATAAAGATCAGAATATAGATTAAACATATGCCTCACAAGGAGTATTTGAGTAGTACAAGAAAAGTTTATCTTGTTAGGTAATTTTTCTTTATTTAGAAATATCATTCTTCTTTACTTAAGGGACAGTAACATGTTAAACATTTTAATATTTATAAGTGGTCTAGACATCATTTATTTTGTGTAGTATTATTAATGTTTATATATTACGTTATTACCCAGTTATATATTTTTTCGGTTGTGTGTCCAGTGTATTCTAATTTAGTTCTTACATATAGTTAAGGTTCTCCTTAAGACATTTTGTATTTTTTTTAATTTCAGTTTCAGTGTGCACTTTTTTGGTATTAAATACATAAAGTTGTAGAAGAAATAAATTGGTATGGGGAGGAAAGCAATGGCGTATAGCGTGTCGTTGGGTGTGCAGACCAGGCCAGCGGCGTGGCGGCATCTGTTCGCATAAGCAGATGGGACTCGCTGACGGCGTACTCTCAGCGACCCGTACTTGCTCAACAACCGGTAGGTTCACTTTCCCCGCGCCGCGTGTCAAGGTCGCATGATCATCGCTTCGTCATAAACCTCGCATGTCCGATGCTCGGTGTTGTTGATGACAAAAACCCAACAGCTTTTGACCACGAGGCAACATCAAGGTTAGCCGGGAATACGTACTGTTTGAAGATTTTAATACTCCTAAGATTAAATAATCTCACAAAAAATACCGTGTTTACTCTAGGAGTTTGATTATTGATTGTTTAAAAAGCATACTACACAAATACGGAGATAACATCATTTACATATTTTAGATAGAAAAAAAAAACCTTTGCAATGACAGTTTAATAATATTGAAAGCCTCATTATTGTAAAGTTATGTATTATAAAATTGATAATCACCATATTATAAGAATAGAAGTGAAAGAAAAATAAATTTCAAAGATTGAACTGTCTCCAACCTGAAATCACGTTTTATGTATGAGTAAGCGACCACAAACACGCTAGTGCCAATTATTATATAGGTACAATTGGTATGGGAAACAAGATTCACATATCAGTAATGAAATTATTTTAAAACACTAGTGTGATAAACATATAATTATTAAGATATAAGTTTGCATTATATAAAGCAATTAGTTTGTCAAAACTTTTTATAGAAGTTACGATGGTTAGCGATGGTTTTTATGCATAAAAACCATCGCTTTAGCAATTAGTTCTTTCGTAGTCTTATAGAAATCATACTAAGTTATTGACAAAGAGTTTTAGAATGTCAAATGACTCCACATTATCATACCTACACATCACTCAGTTACATACCACACCCAACAAATAGATAGTAATGCAGCAACCAAATTTCGCCCGAAGTCATTCTATAGACTAAAACTGCCTACAATACCATTTACATAACAGATATGAGTGAAATCTTTTGTTGTTTGAATATCTATTCATAAGGATGATTATTATATTGCATAATAACGCCGTTTGTAAAGGTACTGACTATGTACTTAGACCATTTCACGGGTTCGGATTGCGTGCAATTTTGTTATGAAATTGATTCTTTCCACAAAATTTATCACACATATAAAATCATTTTCATATTTTATTCATATTATTTACATTGTAACGAAATAATAACAAAAAGTGGAAGAAAGTGGCTGTAGATGAACATAAAATGTTGCTGTCGAAGGAGAATAAATTGATATAGATGGTGAAATAAGTATAGAAAGCCATACAATAAAAGATAATATGATCTGGATAGTGTGTATAGATGAGAAGAATGAATTAATGTAGAAAATAAGGAAAATAAAGCGCTTTGATTTATTTTTTGGTCAAATCGTATTTGAGATGGTTACGTCTACCGATCGCCGAACCCTGTAATCATTTCTCTTATTTAGGTAAATGTTACAATTTATTAAAACTTATATACGGATTTCATCTTGTAAAATTTTAACATCTTCATTATATTTCGAATGTTTTACATTAATTAAGGGTCGGACTGAGATATTTAACGTCCTGATGTAACTGTTAACCTGGGATATCATCAGCTGGAATTTTTTTATTCTGTTCCACGTAGGAATTTCTAACTGCAGTTAATGCGAATCATCCTTGGCAAGTACCATACTTGCGGTGGATGCTTTCGCGAGGATTTGTGGTTCATTAAATCTGATTGTTGTTTAGTTTTTCCTAGCAGATCGCGCTCTTTGAAATAAAAATTTACCCACGGTAGCTAAGGGATGGATGGTTGTTGTTAATACAGTGCATATTCACTTACAGAACACACACTTAAAAATAACTAATTTATACCCTCGATTTGGAACACGGCGAAAAAAGAACAAGATTCAACTTTCGCGCTGGTTTTGGTATTGAAATATTTGAAATACAAATGAAAATAAATGAAGAATAATTCCTATTACAATTAGTTCAGTTGAAATCCTTAGTTGACTATGTTATGACAATTTTCAATGTTTAAGATTTAATTTACAAAGAACAACAATTATAAAGTGTCAAAATCATTTAGTTGCACTACTTTATAACTTATTTTTTTTATAAACATAGTTTTGACTATTCAGTCAAAAACAGAATGTACAATATAAAAATAAAAATAAAAACAGAATGTTTTTATTTTTATATTGTACGACGAAGACAAGGTTGACATTAGTTAAAATACATGTTTTGAATTAAAACCAATTAAAGTCCACGCGGCCGAGGCGTGCTGCAGCGTTAGCATACGTCGTAGGTGTAACCACCGATGCTTACTTTCGGTAAGGTCAATACTGAACAAATGGAATATCCGTTAGCTTTGTTGACAACTGTTACGTCGCCGTACTCAGTTGACATATACGAGTCGTGGTAATGTACTTACTGTTTACTTATTTCATAGATTTTGTGACTTCGCAATGAATTGCGAAATATGTAGTGCGGGGAGGTGGGCAATTCGGGCCCGCTATAAATACTGAAATTGCAAGGATGTTATGCTATCAGTCGATACATCAGGAGATCCTCAGCTTCATCAACCAGTCACCCAACTATCAGATATATCAACAATGAAGTCATTTGTAAGTGTACAGTGTTGGAATCATTTGGTGTTTTACATTCGTATACGTTCATAATAAAAGTGTGTTTGTGTTAAAAACCAGTCAACGTGCCTTTGTGACAAGTTTTCTAATCCAGCTTACATGATTAAAAACAAATTGATGAAACTGCATTAATAAATATAACAAATTACAGGCTTTGGTTGCTCTCTTCGTCGCTGTGGCGTTTGCCGCCCCACAAGCCCCAACGGAGCCGATTCCGATTGTCCGCCAGGACAGCCAGATCAACGGCGATGGATCGTACCAGTACTCCTTTGAAACCGGCAATGGCATCAGTGCTGATCAGAAGGGTGACTTGAAGAAGGTCGGAGACATCGAGGCTTTGGAGGTGCAGGGACAATTCCAATACCCCGGAGAAGATGGACAGAACATTCAGCTCACCTACACTGCTGACGAAAATGGCTACCAACCCCAGGGCGCTCACCTGCCCACCGCTCCTCCAGTACCCGAACCCATCCAACGTGCACTCGCCTACCTCGCTACTGCACCACCTCAAGCCAACTGATCGCGGAACATTGAAAATAGCTCATCAATGAGCAGTAAATGTTTTTGAGACGAGTTCCACCCTCAAGTTTTGTTCTCGAAAACCCGGAAAGGGTGTATTATATGTTGCTATTTATACTAGTTGAAGTATAAATAATGTTACATCTTGTTTGCAACTTAGTATTAGATACACCTATTTGTTTTTTTATTTTTATAGCATGAATATATTTCTTTTACATTTAATGCTTGTTTTTTTATAACGACTTAATAATAAAAGTGAATAATATCTATTTTATATTTAAATATGACTACATATTTGATAATCAACGCATTTATCTTAGCTCAGTTGTATTAAAATGACATTATTTTCCTAATAAAGTTATCTTGACATTTCTTGAATAATTCATCACATATGCGTTATGAAGTGAAGTGATAAATTATAAACCCACATTAACACGCATGGACAAACATAAAAATTGACATATTTTCACAAATAGACCGGCCTATTTAGAGATTAGGAATTTTAACTTTTCTCGATGGTTTTCTACTGATTGTGTATAATGTCGATCAAGATACGCGACAGAAGTTAAAATAATGTTTACTTAAACGGAAAATACAATTCTTACTTAAAATAGAATTTGTTTGAGTTGTTTAAGTATCATCGTCTGTTTTATTTCATTTTATACTATTCATTCATTTGAGAATCTACCACTCTCACGTTGCTAAATCTTTTTGTGCACTTAGAAAACATATCAAACAATGCAGTCATATTATTTAATAGTCATCATTAGCATATCAAAAGTGAAGTTCGTAAAAGCTATAACATTTTTAAATCCGCCTGTTTGCTGTCGAGTCTGTCTGCGAAATAATGTTTTTAAATATATTACGTATGATATAACGACATTTGGTATTCTAGTATGACAGCCATAGTGAATTTATGAATAATTTACAAGTATAGCTGTAATTATCACCTATCATCTAGCTATATAATAAATATATGGATTTGATTTCTTTACATTTTTCAATTAACCGGTGATTATGTTAATTTGTCTCATTAAATTGCGATACTTACATTTATAATAAAGCTTAGTCATAGTAATTTGAAAAATAAAAAAAATTACATTTGTTATCGATCTTTAATATTTTAAACAAATGTATATTGTATATTACTGCTAACAGATTATTGATAATCCTTGTGATTTGGCTTAAGTTTTACAATATAACACATATTTTAAAACTTACCCTCTCCATCCATTTTGAACGGACCTTTGCATAATTATATTATGATTAGATATTTCTAAAGTAAGTCCTCATGTGGGACGACCAAACTTTTATATACATTTTGTTATAAGTGTATTTGTACTTAGGTCTATTTTTACGTTGCCGTGACTTTTCTTGCTCAAGTTAATAAAACTTCTGGATACTTGAAGTTTACAGAGGTGCAAGCAATTCGCGATGCTATGCCGTATAATACTTTCAAGATACTTACTTACTTCTCCTCTAGAATGACGCTATTAAATATAATAATTAAATGACGCTGCCTTTTGGTGATTGCTTGAGCAATTGAGTCTTCTAAGCTCTTATTGATTAAGTAGGCCGAGTTGTCAACAAAATTGCTGGAGAGCCTTAAAGAAACTTTATCAACTGTAATAACTAGTGCAGAGTAATTAGCAGAGAATGTGGATGCAATGACACATTTTTGCTTATCGCTTCGACTTTTTAGGTACGGAACTCTAAAAAATTACGAAATTTATTTGCTAACCATATTTCTGAAGGGACTTGGGACTGTATCAAATGCCTGCTCTAAATCCATAAAGCGTATGCGCCAAGATGTTCACGTTTGGGAATAAACCCTGATTTCAGTAGGCTTTCACCCTATTTTTGTAACAATCCCCGCATGTGATCTAAGAGTTTCACCTTGGCGTTCGTTGCTATGTGTGATGCTTACAGCAAATAAGTGGAAGAATGAAATTTGACATTATGGCGAGGTAGTATGATATGTTTACGCCGAGGTAAGTGTTTACCTTCTAATCTAACATTTACTGGTAATGTAGTACGAGTATATTATTAGCAGTTACTATTGACAAAAAAAAGATAAAGTGCTAAATTTTCTTAAACCGTCACGACATAGTGATCAAATTAGTTAATCCTTACTAATATTATAAACGCGAAAGTTTGTATGTATGGATGGATGTTTGTTACTTTTTCACGCAAATACTACTGAATGGATTTTAATGAAACTTTACAATAATATAGCTTATACATCAGAAAAAGGCATAGACTATATCATATCTATATTTTTATGTATATCTGTGTTTTTGTCTGAATGTTACGCCTTCAGCCTATTCTACGCAGACGTAGTCGCGGGCAGCAGTTAGTATTTTATATAAAAATATCACAAATGCCTCTCATATATTCACAACATTCTGTATGCAACTTCACCTTCACAGTCATTTTTACATATAAAATGGTTGATTATGATTTTTTTTAATTTGTTGACATGAATTTCGTAATTTCATATTTTTAACAAAAGTTAATATTATTTACGACTTACTAAATATTATTTATTCTTTTTTGCAAATACAGATAATATAAAAGATTGAGCATCGGTTACCTCACTCGCTAAAAAAAACTCGAATTTATTCAAACTAACTTTGAACGATTGCTTAAGTAATTTTATTATGATTAATAATATTAATATGATTTTGGTCACTAAATAAAACAATCCACCACAATATCATATTTACCCACATACATGAATAATAAAAGTGGTGTAAATGGTAGGTAGTAAATGTGGTGCGGCGCTAAAATATGTCCAATAAAATGTATTCTGTGAAAAAAATTAAGGATCAAAAATAACCATAATCCGTGCAGAAGTGAGTTTGCTAGTGGAAGTATACATATATCCTTGTTGAAGTTTTTGTAAGCAAGCCTGAGGCTATCGTCTAGGTCGACCTCCGCTGGGAGAGTTTTATCTTACGTAACAACTACGTGATGGGATTCAGGGCATCGGGTCAGGGGTTCAAATCGTGCTCCTAACCGGTCTAGAGTACAGGATTTTTAATTATTTTTAGATATATCGAACTTAAAAAGTCGTATGCTCAACGTGTTGCTTGATACAACTGCTAATAAAAGCATGGCCGATAATTTCAACTTTAGGATCACATCCGCTTTGATCGGTGATCTTTCAACTAGTGTTTTTTTTTTAGGATAAATTTTTATTTTTAGTGCTAGTTTCTTCAAGATGAAACTCTAAACTGCAGTTTTTTGTAGATAAATGAACAGAAACTTTCGACACTTCGGGATTCGAAGCTGCATCTTCTGGTGTTTGTTTTCTATCTAGATCAGAATTTTGTACGAAGACAATTTTCTCCTTTAAAGTGTTGAAGGTCACTTTAATATAGTATAGTATCATCAGGAAAAAAGTAACAAATACTTCCGTTACCTTATAAAGCAAGGTTTTGGCTGCACATTAAAGGCTGCTTTTATCATTGGGTATCAGAAGTCGGTACCGTCATTGACACTTTGACCGTTTGTTAGGTCAGAAAAGACATTTATGAACAATCCAATGCAAAAATTCTTTTTGCATTGGATTAGGTTTAGCTACCATGTATGATGTAGTCCTATATAAATTATTCTTGACATACAACAGGAAACTCCTCAAAGCAATTAGAAAATGTTTAGTATAACGGATGTTATAAATGTCTAATTAATTTTTATTCTATATATATCTTTATATATGACTAAAGCAGTACCACAGTTTTGATTTTGGTTGTAATGAAAAATGTTTCATTGATTATATGTATTCAATAGAGATAAGCTAGATAACAATGACTTCTCAAGTTTACACACATATATATATGTATTACAGATTGGAACAATGTGTATTAATAACAAAATAAGAATTGTCTGGGTTTATCTTTGATTTTTAACATGCCTTGCATCATCGATATGTCGAGAGTTAAAATCAAAATCAAACGTGATAAAATACGTAAGCTACTTTTATTGAAAATGTTAGGCAAAGTTTATTAGCAAAAACTAAGAATCTTTTTCATCATCAAAGTGCCGCTGTTATCAAGTGAGTTCTTATAAATATTCAATCGTGTTAAATACACACGGATTGTTACAGATGACTTATAAAAACGCCGACAAAATTGATGAAATGAATCTGAAATGAACAAACGCACAGATAGGCGTGACAATGGTTACGCAAGAAATGTCCATCGATGCAGGAATCAATAGACTTCGTATTGCATAAGCCACTTAAAATCATGCTATTATAGGTGACACTAGCTGCTTCTCATGACTTCGTTCGCGTGAAATTAAAAAAAAATGAATTTCTTCAATTTGTAGAATTCACGTAAAGTTTATTTAAGTACGAGTACACATGTTTACACAGGGGTTACATTGTGTGACCCTCTCAATAAGTGAATTAGTGTCAATCGCCTGGTTTTATTAAATGGCAGATAATATTTATGCCTATTAAAAGAAAAAAAGGAATCTATTTCTTTTGATACGTGACCTGAATGATTTATTTAAGTTCCCGTTATACTTTTAGGTTTTAGCCTTCCGCAAGCGTACAGATAGACAAGACACAAAACTTTTTAAAATTGTTTTCTTTTTTGTACAAGCACCATACGTAACTTATTAATTATTAAATAAAAAAATGTTACATTAACGTTACATACAGACACTTCAGTTTTATTTATTTGAATGAAATATTTACTCCTATTCCGTTTGATACGGACCCTACGTTATTTTTGATGACAAAAGTATTTCTCACAAATTTGTCAATTAAATTGACCAAGGAATTGGATTGTATTCACTGTAACATCTAATATTTGTCAGTGAACGTAGCGTTAAAATCGATCCGGCTACAGTTTATGTGGTTAGCCGGAACTATAAATCAAAATCAAAATTTCTTCATCGACATTAAAAACATAAATTTCTTCTATCGATAGTAATTGTTTTTTCAATCTACCACCTTTTCGTAATGAGGTTCCTCCAATAGAGAACAAAGCGAATGAAACTCCGTAAGTATTCTCTTTTTTAATTTTTTTGCCCTAAAACATAAAAATATTATAAATTTTTTCCTTACAAATAGATTGGGAGCGATCAACTCAATCCCAGGGTCTATTGTCATTATTGTTTTCATTTATATTATAATAACCCTTTTTATAATGTTTTTTGAACCAATTAATGGGCAGACATATACATATCTACAGAAAAGAACTTACATTGATGCATGCATTCAGAGGCATTAAGTTAAATGCTGTTAATTTGCCTTTACAAATAGATACTACAATTTTATTTATTTGTATAGATTAAGAGAAAATTATTGTTAAGTATATCATTTAAAACATAACAACGAGTGTCATATGGACATTATGACTTACATTCCGTTAACATACTCTGAGTTATTATACTCTCATTCTTTTGCTATTGTCACTTTTTTCTTTTAAAGCCAAAAACGAAATAGTTGAAATGTGATAATGGCTGCCTTCATGCTTAAAGAAATCGACTCATAAAATTCAATATCTTTAAGCACGAAATACATCTATTACGTTATATACATGCATTACTTACATCATAGTATTCAGGATTAAACTAAGACTAAAACTAATAAAAACAAACGATAATGTCTGCAATAAAAACATATGTGTTTAAAATATTTTCATGGAAACACCTTACTCTAGTGTATATAAAAATATAAAGTTAAATTAATGATTTAAAAACTGTGTTAGATATCCTATTTGATTGTGGATGTGCCTAAAAATTTCTTGACCTCCTCATTTTGTGATGGATTTTCGCAACATAGCTTTTGTCTTTTCCTACTTTAGTTATAAATATCGAGGAGATTGATCACTTCTTTTAATAAAATGTTACTCAAAAGGTCATATTTTACACCTTTATAATAAAACACGTATGATGTACTTCTTTGGCAAGATAATTTTGCAACTTTATCCACAGGCCTCTTTCTACAACCTTCAACATTCAATTAGCACCGTGAAGTTTCTTTGAACAAATATTTGTGTATTTCGTTATTGATATTGTATTTGTTAGTTCAACTGATTTGCAAATTTTTACAAATAAAAGCCGTATAATTAAACTTAAAATTTTTGTCAAGAGCATTTTTGCAAACTAAATACAAAAAAATATTAGCATCATTATTTCAAGATTTCATCGTTACAAGTTATAGTAAAGTATTCATGCAAAAATTTAATATAACTTATCTGTCAATAATTTAGTGCCGTAATGTATGATGTAAAATGAGAATCTAAGGTCCCATACCGGTATTTCTTATTCTTTTTCATGCGGAAATGCGTTGTATGGTCAGGTTCTTAGTAAACGGTTGAGAACGATGGAAAAGTAAGTACAAAGTCCACACGAGTTACCACCGATGGTTTAATTTTAATTGATTAAAAGGTAAATTTCGGTCAGTGTACAATATTAAATACATGGAATAGTATTGATCATCTATACTACATTCTTATCATTAGAAAAAAAACGACTAGGTTTTACTTAATTTTTTTTATTTATTTATTAAGTGAACATTGACAATATAAAAATTTTTATTCGCCATATTGTGAAAACAATTTATCGGCGACACAATGCACTCTTATATAATTGTCACTTAAATAACAAAATAAAATTAGCATAGGGTACACTGGAGTAAAAATAATAACTAAGCAATAAAAGAAAAACTGGAACAATCTAAGTAATGCTACTATCATAATAATCTATATAAAAGGCCTTTAAATTTCTTTTGAAGATATTCTTGCTTATAAAATCATTTTCAGAAAAAATCTCATTAAATATTTTTGGTACTAAATACCTCTTTGTCCTGATCCCATAATAATTACACGTAATAGGTTTCACATAATTTTTTCTGCTTTTATTTCTTAGGCAGTTATTATTATGTTTTAGCTTTTTAAACTCTGACTTACCATCTTCCTCTAGGACTGTTAAAAATTTAACTTTTTCATGTATTGGTAATATATTAAATTTTTTAAACAATAACCTATAATCACCGTTACAATCTGGTTTACTGCGTTTAGTTGCAAGAAGTTTAATTAAACGCATTTGTAAATTTTTGATGTTATCTAGATATGTGTGAAAAGTGCGGCCATATGCAATCAAATCATATCTGAGTATACTAACAGCAAGAGTGTGATATAACAAATACATTGTTTTTTTATCAACTACACTACTGTATATGAATTTGCAAATAATACGTATAATTAATACTGAAGAGGATGCTTTGTTATTTTTTTAAAATATGGAAATGCCCACAGGTTGTGATATGCAAGCACCAAATAAAATTCTACAATTCCACTTTCCAAGAGTATCGTTGGCAATATAACAGCGTTCATGTTCACATGTGGTAACATCAGACCTAAACGTAATGCGATACAATAGCTTTTCTATAGGTGGATTCCCTAACTTTATTGATTGTACTATGGCGGAAAACTGGGAAAAGAGCATAACCAAAATATAAAGGAGGTCCAGGACTTGTCCCCTGATTTACGTACAGAAAGGGTTAAGTGCATGTGTTGTTTGTGGGCTCATGCGTTCACCGTGGGTGACTTTGCAAAGGCTATTGTGACTTTACGCCACGACAGAACCGTCAGGGATCGTTAAAATGAAATGATAGTTCTATTTCAATGAGAACATAGTTCTATTTGTCTTTCGATTAGTATTTATTAGTGGATTAAGATAATTATACAAATTTCTTGAACATAATAATCGTAGTAGTAATTCAAATAATCAATGTCGTTCAAGTACCGCTAGTAACAGAATGTGTTCAAAGATATAGGAAACAGCAATATTTAATTATTTTTCAAAGTTTTTGGAAACATTCAATGGCTATGAAACAACCATTTATACAACATATTTAATGACGTATAAAGATATCGATTGATCGTAGTGATTCGACATATACCAGAAATAAGAACTCTTAATATCTTATTACAATGTCTTTGAAGTTTCTTATTTGTAAATTATAGTGCGTACAAACAGGCATATAGTTTAATATTGTAGTTTTATTTGCAACGGTTATAAATAAAAATAATAATCAACATTTTACAACTAACATTAATCGTTATTGGTAATATTAAAATGAAGGTCCTGATACTAAAAACAACCAGCAATTTGTAGTTGTCAGAATCGTTGCGCTCCATCAGGTTGCGTGCTTTACCTAGTCGTATGGTTGTTAATTTCGACCTTTCTTGTTTGATTTCAATATAATTACATTCGCGTTAGAGAACACAAATATTGCATACAACGGTCAAAATTATGCAAGTAGTAAAGTTATAGTTAATTACTTAATAAATTTAATTTAAATAAAAAAAAATATCAACCGCTTATTTTTAAGCGCAAAACAAATGCATAGTTGTGTACGCACATTTTATTTCATGTTATCAAAAATTCTTCAAATGAATATCTAATACATTGTGTTTTATATTTTCCATTTTTAACTTTATTGCAGCATTACTTTGTTAATTTGCAACATGACGATGATATATTATAATTGTTATCAATACATTCGATGCAGACAAGTTTTTCTGTTATATCATATTTTATAAATATGTGACTTAAACTTTGTGTATTATTTCAAGGTTCTTTACAATATTTATATGCTTTGCGATTTCTGTCGTAGGTATATGCGAATGAACTCCTCGGCTTTATATTGACTTGACTAAGGCTTTGTAATATAATTAAGTTTTTATGAGTATTAGCGCCTCGGTTATATTAATACTACGGATTCATCGTTATATAGTTATTTCAAAAATGTTAATTTTCCCATCAATTCGAAGACCAGCAAAAAACAATCAACAATAAATCAGCATACTATTGGCGCCGAAATATTCGGCAAAAAAGTGTGCGTCTTTTTCAAAATTAAACATAATAAAATGAATAAGGATTTAAACATACCGATGAAATTGTGAATGATTTTGGTTATCGTGTTTGTTTGCTCACTTGAATATGACGGAAGGTTTAAATGGTATGAAAACGTTTTTGTTCGAGAGTTAAACATAAAATTATTCAAATACTAAATTATATATTTAAAAAAATCCTGATTGGAACTTATACATGGACTATTTTCGCATTTGGTTTTTTATTGTGATTTCACGCTTAATGGGACAGTCCAACCCGTTAATAAGTATTAGATAACAATATTTGACAATATTCGCGTGAATAGAGGTAATACTTAATTTGATATTATATAATGCTGTTGACTAAAGATAAGCCCGCACACTTATTGCTCGAATGTATTGTAATGTGTCATGTGGTGCAATACCACTCAGTGGTGGTAGGCAGCGCAGTAACCCAGTCGTATATATACCGATATGGCACTCTTAGACAAACATTGTCTAGTGCCTCTACCGACATTTCATTAACAACATGAAAACCATCGTAAGTGCTAGTGTTTGTGTTTTGTGATATGAGTTAACGTTCAAAAGTCTGTGTTTGATAGTCAAAGTTAATGCCAGATATTAGAAATTTATGCACGACGGAAAAATATATACACATTTTCTATGCGTGTATATATTATAACAAGAAATTATGCCATATTTCAAAATCATCAAGAGTCAATAGTTATTTACTCTTGGCAGCACATATCAGTGCTATGGTGCTTTCAGGATTGCGATTTTATATTTGATTGCTTTTTTTATTTCCAGATCGTTCTTTCCCTCCTGGCTGTAGCCATCGCCGCACCTCAAGCACCTACCGAGCCAATTCCAATTGTCCGTCAAGACAGCCAAATCAACCCAGATGGCTCCTATCAATATTCATATGAAACTGGGAACGGCATAACCGCTGAGGAGAAGGGAGCTTTGAAGAACATCGGAGCTGAGGAGCCAGCTTTGGAAGTTCAAGGTCAATTCCAGTACCCCAGCGAGGACGGTGGTAGCATTCAGTTGACCTACATCGCCAACGAGAACGGATTCCAGCCTCAGGGAGCGCATCTGCCAACTTCTCCACCTATTCCCGAGGCCATCCAGCGTGCGCTTGATTACTTGGCCACCGCTCCACCACAACCAGAGAATGGAAGCCAATAAATAGAAGACGTTTCTAACGTTTCACCTTAGAATATGCAACGTGATGATATAACGCCGTTCACTGTGTGAACGCGGGTCATAGATTATTTGTACTTTTTTATGTTTTATTTTGTAATATTATTTTGTATTTAGACTACATTATATAAAATTTAATGTAAATACTTTGAAGAAAGAAACGGTGTTTTCATTTTTTTCTGAATAAGACGACGAAGTACCGACTTTAAGCAAGTTTTTATATCTGCATCTGAATTTATATATGAGTTAATTTTCATTCTTGCTACATCGAACGGTATATTTCAATATGTTTTCCGCTTTTATCGCTGGTCTCACAGTCTTAAATATTTTTCTTTCCTGTACATAATGCATACTTTTTTGATTTTAATTGGATACCAAAATTCACTTCACTACATAGTATAAAACAAAGTCGTCCCGCTGTCTGTCTGTCCCTATGCATGCTTAGATGCGGTGTTTTTTACTAGATGTTAGTCAGAGTGATTCAAAAGGAAGGTTTGTATGTATAATACATTGCAAGCCGGCGAGGGTCTTTTGTTAATCATAAAGAATAAAAAATATATTATTATACAGAAAAAATATAGTTGGAATTTATCTCAGTCAAAATAAAATTATAATAACGACTCCATCTAACGACGGACTGGGTAGTTACTCACCATAATGAAAAAAAAAAAAACAATAATTTAGTAAAATAACTTTACCTTTTATACATAGATGGCGTGGTTTTGAAATTGCCAAAGATAATTCTTACACGACACATTTTAGATAATATATGGTAATATTGAGACAGTGCTAGTATATACACAAAATATAAAAAGCTGGTAAAAGCTATTTTATTAATAATGCCTTCACAGCTAATGTCAGCAGCAAAATGGATGGTTGTTCAGCACATATTGTTGTATTAATGCAACAATGGGTATGAATGCTTAGTACCAGGAGTAACAGTTAAACAATTTTGTTTTTCTTTACGTTCCAACTAAATGGTCTCTTTTCTAGTTATTTGTCTGGACTTAATTGAATTTTTTTTTAATTTCTATTTATATTTAGTATATACATCATAAGAAATGTGTGATCATGTTATGTTTTCTGACAAATCTCTTTATCTAATAATTAATTTAGATAAAATTATGCTGGGAAAATTCATCCAAGTTTTAGTGTGCATATTAAAATTAAATTATTGCAATAAAAATGTTCTCAAACTCGTAAAAATGTTTAAATGATGAATTCATGTCTATTACATAGACGTACTTAGCAGTATTAAATTTTAAGGCGTTTTGCGGGATTTGTGACCCACGATGGCATTCTGCCTGCTCGTTTGACCTATTAGTGGAGGTGGTAATAATACGTGCTGACATTTAAGTGACGAAACCAGTTTCAACGGCCTTCGATTGCGGACATCTTCAATAAAATATTTTAATATAATATATGACATTGTAATGATTAGTTTTTTTTTCCGAGCTTATGGTTATTTAACGTTAAAAACGTCAACAAAAACCATTAAATCATCAGTGTGAGACGTACCTTACGTTATGCGGGTTGTGTGCGTACGTCAATAACGTAATACTATAAAAATATTTCATGGAAATATGCATATATCAGTAAGCCAGTTCATTTAATAATTCGATTTCAATTATTCCGTTTTATGTAATTATGTGTTTTATTGTACCTATCCTTAACCAATTTAAAATATATTACCGAATATATTAATATTGTTATGACTATATCCCTGGAAATGAATTTAGTTTCGTCAAAATTTTCTTCAAAATTCAATTCGTTCAATTTCCACTCGTCCTAGTAGAAATTGAACGTTATTTTTAACTACAGTAAAGTTCTAATTACTTTATGAGTAGTCAATCACATTGTTTCTTTTTTGTGAATAAACAAAATTTTGTGATTTTTTTTCACATGAGACTAAAAACTTTATCTTCCTATTTTTAAAATAAATCTAATTTGACTATATAGCGCTGTGCAGTATTGTAAATATTTGTCATTATCATAGAATTAATCGTTACATATCTCTGTATATAAAAATTGATCGCTGAATGTGTTGCTAAGCGCAAATCTCGAGAACAGCTGAACCGACTTCGCTAAGTATTTTTTATAATATTCCTTGAAGTACGAAGATCGTTCTTACGGAGAGTAAAATTTTAAAAATTGCCTGAATAAGTCTAAAAACAATACTTTTCTATATTTCCCTACAAAATATTAGTATAGTATAAATAATAAAGTTTAAGTGTTAGTGGAGGGTTTCTGGGAAGGCAAAACAATTGAGTGACGTGGGTATCGTATAAATATTAATGTCATTTTGTAATATTTTTTACTAGATACAGTGATTCAAGAGGAAGGATTATATGTAAAATACATTGCACCCGTGCGAAGCCGCGGCGGGTCGCCAGTTAAAAATAAATGGTAAATACTTAATACCTGATCAAAAAAGTAAATTTGATGTAGATACCTTAAATTTCTTTGGAATATAGGAGATGTGTTAAAATGTTTGCATACTTTGCTTTGAGGGGAACGGTGCACGATATGTTGGTATGTATATTATAAATATACATTCCAACATAACTTGGACCTTATTAATCAGTAAGTATTAAGTTCCCTAATAAGTATTAAGTAAACATTCCTTGCACAGTGTTACCATTAAAAAAAATCGATAATAGTTATGGTTTTATTGTTCCTTTAATTGCATTATAGATTTAAATTTTAAATACATTGTTCTTACTGTCACCACTCCCTTGTTGCTATTACATTTGACGACGAGATAACGAGTGACCTCGTTATTTTGTCTATCATGGCCTTTATTAGTCCGCGAATGGTGGATCCATTTCTGCAATCAGGTCAACACATACGGGCGAAGTATAATTATTTTTTAATTAAAATAAGCGATATTATTATTCCCATATTCTCACTATTCCATGTATTCGTATTATCATTCCCAATTTTGTTAACGAGACCGTTTATTTTCAGCTTAAGTGGAATTATTCGAAGTAATTTCGGAACGAAAGGGTTTGAAATATTTGTTAAGAAATATAACGAATTTAATAATTAAATAATACTCTATTCATATACATATTTTGTTACTAGTAACGCTAATAGAAGTACATGTAATTTGATTATATATAAATACAAATAATCTAATACTATATGATACACATAATTTAATCTAGTTTAATAAAACTATAAGACTTTAAAATTTTCGTTCATTTTTCTACAAATTTTAAATTTCATCTTAACTGCAGAGAATAGCACTATGGAAATTAATAACATTTCAATTTTCTTTTGCCAAAATTTTTCTGCTGCTTGTTTTATTTTGTGTATGTCTTTTTCTGGGTATAACGACTAGTTCAGGCTTAATTCATGATTACAAAGAAGTTAAGAAGAAGATTGGATCTTTTTTGCTTCAAAATAGATTTTCGTGATTTAAGATACAAAATTAGTTAATTATTTGAAGTCTTAAGACTCTCTTTTTATATCATGTTAATTACACAATTTTACAGCGCACGATGCAATCATATAGGTATAATAAATTTTCTAAACAGGATTTTTTCTTTGCGAACTTATTTAACTCCTTAATTGAAACTTATTACCCGCAGTATTAACAGTTAGATTTTATATTGAGATCATTGTGATATTTTTTAATAGAAGAATATCTAATCAATTTCAGCATTTGATTTATATACAAATAGTTGTCCCGTGTGGGAATTGAATCTACGACCCCCGAAGCCGAAGCCGATACCTTGGCCACTGCGCTACGGAGTCATTAACTTCATCCAAGAGTCTTAATTTTTAGGGTTCCTTACCCAAATGGTAAAACTGGACCCTATTACTAAGCCTCAAATAGAGGCTGCCAGTGATCTGAGACTCATACATTATCATAGAGGTACTATGATTTGACTTTTGGACCAAATGAGATCACTTCTGGCCCTATTCGGTCGGGGTGCTGTAATTTTGTTAAACAGGGTATTATTAGGAGGGAACCCCGGGCTTAGCTTATCATTATAGGTTCTGATAAACCATCATCAATGGTGACTCGAAGAGACCGGTCAATCAGAAAGTCTTTCATCTAACCGATAAGGGCGACGACGTTGGCTAAAAACTTTCTGATAAGGATAAAGTGCAAAACCTTGCCGAAGGCTTTCAAGGCATCATTGGAAACTTCGAGTGCTCTCTATTTTTCTTAAGGGCCTCGCCCCAATGGTGAGTGCTGTATACTAGAAGATTTTGATGAAATTCATATCGGTGTCACTGAGATGATTGCTTTTTTATCAGTATGCTATAAGACGGGCGTTTCATATACGCTCCATAATCTTGCAGAGTATATATAGCAGAGAGGCGAAACGGGCGTGTTAGCACAGGAGGCAATTAAGGTGCATTAATTTTTAGATTTATTACCAATATACCGTTCGGGCCACTACTATATTCAGGACCAAACTTTTTAAGATTGAAAATGTTTGATTCGTATTCCTAATTTGACAAAAACTTTGATCGGCCTCCAAATTTTAATTTAGGTTTTTTAAATTTCGTACAGTGGTAACTCAAACGTAGAGATATTTACAACGAGGAATTTTGCTCTCTTAATTTCTCCTGTAATTGACGAAGTTAGAATATTATGTAAACTGCAGAGCTTTTTGGGCATATACTCGTACGCATATATGCGCATCAAAATATTTTATTTTTTTATTTTTTACGGTTCCCTACCCAAAGGGTAAAATGGGACTTTATTACTAAGACTAAGCTGTCTGTCCGTCTGTCATCAGCCTGTGTCTCTTGAACCATGGTAGTTAGACAGTTGAAATTTCAAAGATGATGTATTTTCGTTGCGCCTATAACAACAAGGAATAAACAACAGAATAAAAAAATATTAAAGTGGGGCTACGATACAGGCATGATTTTTTACCGTTTTTATTATAAAGGAACCCTCCATTCGAGTCTGATTCGCACTTGGTCCGTTTTATTTTTAAGCTTAACAAACAGGTTTCCCA